GAGCAATCGTACTATGCCTGAGCACTCCAATAAAAAACTTGATTAATGCCAAAATCGTTGCCCACAGAAAAATCATAGAGTAGAACCCGGGTTAAGGGTCAAACCGGATTAGGGATCGGAGCCCGGGGAGGGGGGGGGGGGGGGGGGGTGGTCATTTAGCATGTACATTGTGCGGGTGATCCTTATACCGGGATTTAATTTCCGGCCCAAGGGGGGGGGGGGGGGTCCCCCGTCGGTTTCTGAGGAAGCCGTAACTTTTTTCGCTCCAAATTATTTTTCCGGGGTCCATCTACTCACAAAAAGTCGTTTTGCCCACCTTTTTGCCCATCCCTGCACAACTGAGTCCAGCTATGTCCGCGCAGAGTTAGGAGGACCCTTAACCCGGGTTCTACTCTAGTACTTTGCGGGTCTTGCGTTGCACGCTTGGAGGTGAAGTACAGAAGGTGAGTCGATCCGCGTATAACCTTTCGGGCTTTTGGACTCAAAACGTTTTATTACGGACAATCAATGAGATCGTACGATGAAAATAAAGAACATTGAAAAAATTTGAAACTCGGGTATTGAGCCAATAATAGAAGTAGAAAGGAAAAGGACATAATATTATGGAAACGAGTTAAGAGTAACTCTCCACCACTGTAACTAGATACTATATACAGTCAGAAAGTGCAACAACTAGGCACAACACTGACAGAGTACTGAGACATTCGACATCCTGACACCTAGCTTCAACACATCTCCGTAGCGCTAACAAGCAGCCTTCCAACTTGGAAGGTTCAAGGTTATGGAAAGACCAAAGAGGGGAAGGCAACTTCTTTGTTCCGTTGGGACTGTAGCTTGTGCTCGTTTTCGTTGCGCTTGCCTTCCCCTCTTTGGTCTTTCCATAACCTTGAACCTTCCAAGTTGGAAGGCTGTCGGTTAGCGCTACAGAGATGTGTTGAAGCTAGGTGTCAGGATGTCGAATGTCTCAGTACTCTGTCAGTTTTGTGCCTAGTTGTTGCACTTTCTGACTGTATATAGTATCTAGTTACAGTGGTGGAGAGTTACTCTTAACTCGTTTCCAAAATATTGAAAAAATTAAAAAAACTTTTTATAATTTTGATAGTGTTACGAATTATTTCAATGTCGGGGCATTGTTATTAGGCGTCTGCCTGTTTTGGTTTCTCCACTATAAATAAAAGAATACATACACACAATGGGCAGCCAAGACTGGAATATTAAAAAAAAAACGTGTGCGAGGCAACCCCAGAATTAAATATTTCCGTGCCGGTGTCACCAGGGTCACCAGATAGCATGCCCACATATTATCAAGAGTACTCTTGATATTATGTAGTTTGGGTACGACTCCCTGAGCCTCCAGACCTTCCCGACCTCCATGCTCATGACTCAGAGCAGCTCCGGACATTTTTTCTTACAGGGCGAAACATCCATATTTGGATGTGCTCCGCATTGCTCGCGGACCATGGGACACTTGGCCGTGGTCCGTTTTCAATTATTTCAATTTTTGTCAGTCAATGAGCTTTTTGGTCGAAGTCAATATTTAAATGAAGGGTTCAGGGAGAAAGGTTGTTGCAGTGCGACTAGGCCTTATCCGATCTACGAGCTGCAGTTCTTGACTGTATCGTGAGAACTTTGTCATTCAAGGGTTTGAACGAGCCACGGTAGCCAATACTAGCCATGCTAATGGTTTCTATTGAAGAGCAGCAAGCTTTTTTTCTTGCTTTTTTTTACGACTTCTGGACTGTGGCCTTGCATTTCGAAGAGCTCTGCATGCAGGGGTGAGAAGCGTCACAACTACACAAGCTCTGGGCGCAGTGTATGGATGTACGTCGAGCGTCAGAAGTTATCTTTCTCTACTGTCAAGAGGGTGGGTAGCTGAAAACTGGGTCAGGAGAGAAGTTCACTCAAGGAGCAGCGCCTGTCGGGAAGGCTGGGGTGAGGTGTAAAATCTTGTACGATTCGTACGACACGACATTCTGCAGTCGTTGCGTCGTTCAACAGCGAACAGCGCCAATCATAGGGCACGGTCCGTGACAGGGTCACTTTTGGACCTAATTTCTTATTTTTCGGGACTTCTCTTCAATTATTTCTCCTTGAATGAAGCAGAACCAAGTTCACAATACCAGTTTTTCATGAAGACCAAAAAGTAGCTTCGAAAGGTGTGCCATTCAAATAAAAACTCCAGGAAATGATAAAACAGTTCCTCTGTCACGCTCCTGAACTATCCCTAAATACCCTGACATCAGGCCTTATCTTGCTAAAATTCAACTCAAGTCGTGTTAGGGATTCTGCGAGTATCATGGGAAGCGCAGTGTTTGAAATGCTACAAATTTCCAAGTACGAATCGGGAGTAGTCGGCGCACGACGCCGTCTCCTGTTCACACTCAAAATGCAACCTTTTGTACGCTTGCGTCCCTGTCTACGCCCGTCTACGGTATGAAAAGTTGGATCGATCCAACTCTTCCCGTCGCTTCCCGATCCGAACGTCAGTACGGTTGCGTTCCCGTTCCTGGTGTTCACATTGGACGCCGTCAGACTGTCCCGTCACTTCCCGTCTATCCTTACGTCGCGCCCCATCGCGCCCCGTCAAATGTGAACTAGGCTTTAGTGAAAAGTGGAGCAGAACGTTATCAATTCTGTCACACGCCGTGGCAAGATATGGGATCGTACCGTTGCGCTGAAGTGTGCAAGCTGGGCTGCTATTGCTGCAGCAGATCGCTATGCGGCCCAAGTGGATGCATGATTCACTGTCTGGATACCATGCCATTGGATATAATTGCGTTGTTGGACATTATTATTCTGACAGACGTGTAGTAGGAAGCATCCAGCAATAATGAGGATGTGGAGCGTACATTCCTCGGTAAAGAGTATCAGTGAATTCTGGTGATCTGCTGCTTTCAAGACAAAGGAATTACAGCTGCAGTTCTCAATGAAACAGGTGAAGCTGATGTGCTGAGAGATTTGAGTTTCGGCCGCACCTAGTTCTGTGGGTCAATGTTGCCTTGTCACAGTCTCGGCACAGTACAAGACTGACTGCATCCTCTCCATCCACTGTAAGTGATGACATGATGTGCGGAGTAAATCCTGAAAATGCTATAGCGCTAGCATGCATAAACGTTCTAAACTTAGAGGGAAACTGAGAGGTACATGTGTGTTTTATGGATGGCTGCAAAGTACTCATGCAACCGTTGTTATAACTCGCGTACCCTTTAGGTGCCGTCCGTAAATACATGTATTTACTTAGAGACGCCGATTGGGCGTTTGTGGGTGGGTGAGTTCGCCTGCAAGGCGTCTCTAAAAAAATTCATTTCAGAGTGCATGCATACCACACCGCGCGCGTGTACATGCACATGATGTAGCACTGCTACAGCTGGTACAGGTGGATGTACTAGGCCATGAGACGCACTACACTACACTGCTCCTCACGCATCACAGCACAGTAGACAGGTACACATACTGTCTGTGTACTCCCAGAAACATGCGCTTGCATGCAGTGACGGCCAGCTATCAGGTGCCATGTTTGTGCTTGCCCTGTGATATACTGTGTACATGTACATGTATGTGTGCATAGTATGGTGTTAGTGTGGTAATTGGGCTCTCCTTAATCTTCCAAGTTGGAAGGCTGTTGGTTAGCGCTGCGGAGATTTGTTGAAGCTAGGTGTCAGGTCGTCGAATGTTTCAGTCTTTATAAATAACATGTTATTGCATAATTATGTTCTTGGTTTAGTTTTCGGCCTTTTTCGTGCTTTGGAGTTAATAACATTTTCCTCAAAAAAAATCCATAGTGACCCCCGAAAATGCCGGGAAATGTTAAATTTTGAATTTTTCTTTGTTCAAGCACTGCATTTGCAGTACGCACTTTCAAAAAAAAAAAAAAAAAAATGTTTCAGTGTACAGTCATGTCGCATGTTAATGTACATGTACAGTGAAACCTGTCAAGGCGACCACTCGGGCAAGGTGACCGCCTATCACAGGGGACCAGTACAACCAGGACCAAGGGATGCTACATGTACCTCCAGTCAACTGACCCGGGAAAAGGAGACCACCTGTACATAGTGAACACATTCGAAGGTCCTTTGAGCGGTCGCCCTAGACAGGTTTCACAGTACAATGCAAAATATTATTATCATCGGTGATGTCATAGCATCAACACATGCAGTATTCACACTAGAACATATCCGCACATCCTGAGTGGATCATTAGCGACACATTAAGCAGAGAGCATCATTTGAAGAACTCAAGTACATTATTGCATATTGGTGCATCCAACTCACTATGACATAAACCTCGCTATTAAAACATTAAACTTTCCATACCCCAGATATGACGTTATAGTTGGGTCTGACCTGACCTGTACTGCACAAGGATCACCACAGCATGCAGCCTTTACCTAGCGCCAGCTAAGCCTGGCAGGTTCGTAAAGCACTGGTACAATGTCACTTATTCATGTACAATGTACAGTCGTGTACATTGCATGGAAATATATGTACCGTATATTCTCCATTACTAGCACAGTCTAATACTAGCACACTGTGAGCACCTTTCGAAACATTACAAGCACAGTCTCTATTACTAGCACGGTCTTGGTGGAAATCAAGGCTGCATGCATGATATCTAGCATGTATTTTTTCTTGCTCTGTATGGATATATTGGTTGATCTTTTCATCACATACATATATTTCCACCATAGTTC